ACCGGGATGCGAACGTCACTCTTGAAATTGTTGGAACTACGTGTGGGCCTCAATATCGCTCACATGGGGTACTGTAGAAAGATATAAGGAAGTAAAGACCTTTCTATACTTCCAGGTAATTTGGATTCAAATGAGAGATATTTCCAGATCTTTTCTAAGTAGACAGGTTTTAATGGTCAGTTTGACTCCGCATCGGGGATCATACTACATGGCTTGCCCAGTTAGAAAGGCGAGTGACCGAGCGCTGACGTCGAACATTATGTTAAGATAAACATGTATCTTTTTAGGCATCTTTTTAGTCCTTTTAGATGTCTTTTATGTCTTTTAATATGTCCTTTTAAATATTGTTTTCGAATTTTTTTTTTACTCTTCTCAGTTTTTTAGGACCCTATAACCACTGTTTCTATGTATACCCAAATATCTTTGTATAAAACTCACAAAGCCGACCTCTCACTCACAATGCTCCATTTCCCAGACTCCGAATCATGAATCGTCCTTCCCTCGTCCTCAAGCTTCATAAGTACCTGCAACACACCATGCGAAGCCGGTACATGCAAAGACTCGGGAACACCAACGTAAATGCGCTTAACCAACTCAATAGGCGTCCACGCCTGCTTGCGTTCCGGTGAGGTCTCGTCAGCTGCGACATCAAGCTTGCCAAACTGCAGAACACGCAGGACCTCGTCTTCCCGCTGCTGTCGGTGCTTGATGTACTCGGTGATCCGCGCGCCGGCGTTCTCGATCACCGCCCCGTGTCCGGGGTATCCCCGGCCCGAGGAGACGCGATCGCGCATCCGGTGGAGACTGTTGAGGTAGGTTTTGAGAGTTTCGAAGACGGCTGTGCCGTGGCCGAGGACATCTGCAGATTTAAGGTTAGATATGTTTTGAAGGACGTTGTATATCGTTGTTTTATCGGTGAAGAGAAGGGCCAAAGTAAAAGAACTGTTGCACTTACTATCACCAGTAAACATAGCATTCTCCTCCTCGAGCATAAACACCATATGGTCAATGGTATGTCCAGGCGTATGGAATGCTGTCAAGGTAGCACCCTCGACGGAAAACACCTGGCCCTCCTGGATCTCCGTCTGATCGGAATCAGGCTGGTGTTTGAAGATCTGAGCCTGGGGACAGACTTTGAGTAGATCTGGTAGACCGCTGACATGGTCGCCGTGCCAGTGTGTCAGGAGAGCTTGGTGCACTGTTGCCTTTTCTGCTGAGAGCACGGATTGAAGGTTTGCTACCCATGAGGGCTTGCCTTCACCTGTGTCTATTAAGATTCGCTGGTGGCCGCGGCCAATTAAGTATGTGTTTGTGCCTGGGAGTGTGGTTAGGGTGTTTGTTCTGAGCTGAAATGGAAGGGTGGTGCTTACCTTGGAGTGTGAACTGTGTTGCGTTGCATGCTATTAATCAGCCTACCATGTTTTAGTGACATCATGGTATCTATGCACTAACCTTCCCCGGATTCCCGCCTAGAATTCTCACGACTGAGGCGCTGAGGCGCTCTACTTCTGGGAGTTGGACGAGCTGGGTTGCCATATTTGAAGATGGGGTAGGGATAGTAAATGGGAGACAGGAGATCCTCAACACCTGGTCTTTATATCTGGCTTGAAAGGCAAATCAGTGGTCAACTAATGGTTGACTCCTCATTCAAGATTCTCTAGGCTTGTTTGATGCGATATATGGTATGTAATGAGATGTAGAGGTGAACTTGAGAATATAATGAAGCGGTAAACTTGCCGAGCACTATGATGGAATAAGGTGATCTGATGGCGTCCAAGTCAATCTTATACTGAAGTTCAACGAACGCGGGGCAGAAGTTGTGCCTCGGTATGCTTATCTCAGCGTTTGATGTGTCCGAGGTGCCATCAGTATTTCTGTGAGACGTTCATGGTCGGCCTATTAGGCTGAACATGGATGAAATACTTTGTTTACAAATTTACGACCTACGAGATAAGGAACAAATTGAACAAAAAAGAAATTGTGTATGCATGCCATTCCTAACATACAAAAACAGTGATGTAAAAATCAAAAAGAGTATATCCATTGAGCCCACCCGGATATCGGGAATCAACGCAAGGCCGAGAAATCAGGCCTACAAAAACACAAATTCATTCATAATTTTCCCAGAGCGCAACTCCTCGTATCTGCTCACGAAAGGGACATGGGCAGTAGACAACCAATCTAATGGCTGCCGTGTCACACCGTAGTTTTTCAGAAGCATGTATCTGAATTGTTCAACACACAAGAGAACGTAGTTTACACAAGCGTCTCGGTCGTAACCGAAGATACTTGAAGGTTTTATTGTTGGGGAGTCATGACAGAAGGAAGGCAGTTTAAGCCTTGCGGGCCATGGTGTTGAGGGCAGAGCCGTCGTGGAACCACTCAATCTGGGACTCGTTGAAAGTGTGGCTGAGGGAGACGTCGAAGGCGGCGCCACCGTCCTTGGGGTGGACACGGAGGGTCATGGGCTTGCCAACCTGGAGCTCAGTGCAGAGGAGGTCGACCTTGTCCTCGGGGTTGATCTTGTCGTAGTCGGCAGGATCGCTGAAGGTCAGAGGAAGCATACCCTGCTTCTTCAAGTTGGTCTCGTGAATACGAGCGAAGGAGCGGGTGATGATAGCGAGACCACCAAGGTGACGGGGCTCGAGAGCGGCGTGCTCACGGGAAGAACCCTCTCCGTAGTTCCAGTCACCGATGACAACCCACTTGACACCACGAGCCTTGTAGTCACGGGCAGTAGCGGGGACAGCATCGTACTCCTTGGTGAAGTAGTTCTTGACCTTGTTGGCCTCGCCGTTCTCCTCGTTGGTGGCACCGATCAACATGTTGTTAGAGATGTTGTCCAAGTGGCCACGGTACTTCAACCAAGGGCCAGCCATGGAGATGTGGTCAGTGGTGGTCTTGCCCTTGCACTTAATCAGAATGGGGATGTCGGTGGCATCCTTGCCGTCCCAAGCCTGGAAGCCAGCGAGGATCTGGAGACGATCGGAGGTGGGAGAGACAGCAACCTGGACGGAGGAGCGATCGGTGGGAGGAGCCTGGTAGGTGTCACGGCCAGCATCGTAGCCGCGAGTGGGAAGGCCGTCACCGGAGGGAGCCTTGAGCTTGAACTCCTTGCCATCCTTGCCCTTAAGGGTGTCGGTGATGGGGTTGAAGTTGAGAGTACCGGCAACGGTCATGGCGACGACCAGGTCGGGAGAAGCAACGAACGCGTGGGTGGCGGGGTTGGCGTCGTTACGGCCAGTGAAGTTACGGTTGTAGGAAGAGATGATGGAGTTGGCCTCACCCTTCTTGACGTCCTTGCGGTCCCACTGACCAATGCAAGGTCCGCAGGCGTTGGCAAGGATGACACCGCCGTACTCCTCGAGAGTCTGGAGCTGACCGTCACGCTCAATAGTAGCGCGAATCTGCTCGGAACCAGGGGTGATGGTGAACAGAGACTTGGACTTGAGACCGTGGTCAAGAGCGTCACGGGCGATGGAAGCAGCGCGGGACATATCCTCGTAGGAGGAGTTGGTGCAAGAGCCGATCAGACCGACCTTGAGCTCCTCGGGCCACTTGTTGGTCTTGACAGCCTCCTTGAACTGGGAGATGGGAGTGGCAAGATCAGGAGTGAAGGGACCGTTAATGTGGGGCTCGAGCTCGTCGAGGTTGATCTCAACGAGCTGATCGTACTGAGCACCCTCATCCTCACGGAGGGAAGCAGCGTACTCGCGAGAGAAGTCACCAATGTGCTGACGCTTGGTGGCCTTCAGGTAATCGTACATGCGGTCGTTGAAGGGGAAGATAGAGGTGGTAGCACCAATCTCGGCACCCATGTTACAGATGGTACCCATACCAGTGCAAGACAGGGAGTCAACACCGGGTCCGTGGTACTCGATGATGGCACCGGTACCGCCCTTGACGGTGAGGAGACCGGCGACCTTAAGGATGATATCCTTAGGGGTGGTCCAGCCGGACATCTTACCGGTGAGGCGGACACCAATGACGTTAGGGGCCTTCAGCTCCCAAGGGAGACCAGCCATAACATCGACGGCATCGGCACCACCGACACCAATAGCGGCGGTAGCGAGACCACCAGCGTTGGGGGTGTGGGAGTCAGTACCAATGATCAGACCACCGGGGAAAGCGTAGTTCTCAAGAACGATCTGGTGAATGATACCGGAACCGGGCTTCCAGAAACCGATGTTGTACTTGGCGGTGGAGGAGGCAAGGAAGTCGTAGACCTCCTTGTTGATGTCGTTGGCACGAGCAAGATCCTTCTCACCTCCAACCTGGGCCTCAATCAAGTGGTCACAGTGGACGGTGGTGGGGGTCTGGACGCGGTCCATGCCAGCGGACATGAACTGAAGAATGGCCATCTGGGCGGTGGCATCCTGGCAAGCAACGCGGTCGGGGCGCAGCTTGAGGTAAGAGACACCACGCTGGATGTCCTGGCCGTGGGGGTCGTCAAGGTGAGAGTACAGGACCTTCTCGGAGTAAGTGAGAGGACGCTGCAGACGAGAACGGACGATGTCGAGGTTCTCGGACATCTTCTTGTAGTTGATGTAGTGACCCTGTAATGTGATACGTTAGTCGCTATTGTTTGCAACCGTATTCCACGCCCGCTTCTCAGGTACTAAGCTGGCAGCCACTCACAGTTTCCTGGTTGGTCATCTCGACCTTCTTGTCGAGGGGGTCAATGGCGGTGGCGAAGGCCCGGGTTCCAGTCGCCTATAAATTAAAAAGTCAGTAACTGCATGTATGAGCTACGCCAGAGCTATCATGCACGCTGGCATGTGCCACGCCACGTCTAGTTGAAGCTTGGCAATAAGGTCGCTGCTTACAAGACGAAACTTGGGGGCCTGGAGTCGAAACACAAGTTAGTTTTCCATTCATCATCAAGGGCCAGACTGGCAGTCAGGTAGATGTATCGTGGCAATATTGAGCTGAGGGAGAAAGACATACCAGCGCACCAGCGCGCGCAAGGCGGGTGGAGATCATGATGGAAGCTCTATGAGATGGGATTGCACATCCAAGAGCTAGTAACCACCTTCACCGAAGTATGAGAGTGGAGAGTAGAATGAAAGAGGAAGAGATCAAAAAGGAAGAAGAGGACGAAAGCTTGGTTTTGAGTGGGAGAAAGATTCTACGGGGACCGGGAATAGAGCCGTAACCGCTGTTACCACGGCGATACAATACGCTGGTATTGTACTAAGCCTGCCGCATGCGACGGCAAGAAGGGCTGGGCAATTTGATAGACGCTGCTTATGGCCGAGAATTCTTAGGATTTCCTCAAGATTTACTATGATCGGTGATGAGCTGTACGAGGGATATACACCCGATTCTTTTCCTATCCTTCTTCTCTTCCCACGTGAAGTCTTCAATATTCAACTTCTGTGGCCTTTGTGTTCGCCTTGGGATGTACCGGGAACGTAACACCGATACAAGGCATGTGACGGGTATAATTCGGCCACCAATCACGGAGTTTCCAATTATAAGGGCCCCTTCGCCCAGCTCCCTATTTCGGACCAAAGGGCTACCTTTGGAAGGTCAGTGTGTTCTCACTTGGGCATGTAACTCTCTCGGCTTGTACCCCGTACTTACAGGGAAAGGGTAGCTTGACGCATGTGGATTTGATGGGTTTCATAAGTATGAATCTGGCCAATGATTAACATGTGTTTACTAGTTCATGCTACTGTGTACTCCGTACGATGTAATGCTTTATTAGTAGAGTGCTTTTCCGAACAATCTTTCTATCAACATACTTACAGCTCTATACATATACATTTGAAATCGACTGACTAGTTATTACTACGTAACTATATACATATAACTTGATTTGATATTCGGAGCAACATACCGCATGCAAACGTCATTAAATACACAGCTGTACGGTGACGAAATCCAACTGAGCCGAGGTGAGCCGAATGGCAATCCCGCATCGTCGCCAAGGTGCCGTGTCTGATCACCAGCCAATCACAGCTCGGACGTTTCAATTGCTGCCCGTGACCCACAATCGGCGGAAATTTCATCTCAAACAGTCGCTATTGTCTACAGCCTCTTTGACCCGCTTTCCTCACTGTTCACTCCGGAAATCGGTGATAACCAATTTTTATTTCCTTGCACCTATTTTGATACCATTGTTCGGCTCCAGCTCCGAGGTATTTCGGCTATCAGTTACAATGGGTGCTCTCAGGAAAGTCAAGAACAAGCGCCGCACTAGGTACGTCTACCCTTGGGGTTTTACATTTACTTGTACCTATCGCTGGCGCTGGCGCTGATTGCTAACCTAATAACAGAGACTACGATCAAGTCATCGCGGATATCAAAACTACTGGTCACCTCCAGAAGTACAAGGACTCGAAAGATCCGGAGGACCTGCCTGGTCTGGGCAGGTTCTACTGCACGGAATGCTCCAAATGGTTTGAGAGCGACTACAACCTGAAGGCGCACACCAAGGGCAAGAACCACAAGCGGAGGTGAGTTTACTCCGATACTATGTCTTCTGTCGCATCGCTGACTAGTTACGCCTTTTCAGACTTCGTATCCTGCGCGATGAGCCTCACAGCCAATTGCTTGCCGAGCGTGCGATCGGACTGGGTTTAGTCGATAACGGCAAGCGCGAAGAAAACCCCGACGAGATGAAGGAGTGAATCGAAGCTTGAGCTTCGCCTTCTGGGATAAAAATCAAACCTTTGCTACGCGACCACGATCCTCTTTCCAGCAAATCGACATACGCAAATCGACATACAAAAGTTTCCAGGACAATACGTCTAGACCCGTTCTGATGTTGACTTTCCTCATTCCGTTCATGCATATCGGTGGAGTCTCACGTGAAGCAATTTTTTTTATATTGCCGATACTCGCCGGGGTTTCGCTCTTCCGTTTTGCGGGTGACTCAAAACCGCCGACCATCGGCGGAAACGGCATCTGGGGCGAAATTTACCCCTTACTACCAATACTACCGAGTAATTCCAATAGAAATCCCTCAATACCAGATAGAATCTAACCTAAATCGGCTTCCGGTAACTATGTACTCCGTAGCTTGGCTTGCAATGTTTTGATATGTTCCAGATATTCTATGTTCTAAGGTTGATGGCTAGCTTGGATATATCTACAGACCCGCTATGGGCTCTTGGGTTTTCACTTCTGTGCCCCAGGAATGATTAAAGCTCTTCATCAACCATTCATATGCCGCCCACTTTATTAGATGTTAGTTGTTTAATCGATTGTGAAAATATGGAGAAAAACATACCTGAACAGCATTCACAATGAACGCTCTGACACTGCAGACTCCAAGACCACGATAGAATGCCTTGATACCCTCGGCACGATATGTCTCCTTCGCAATTTGGAAAGAATTTAGTGTATGGCGCTGAGGTCGTAGTAGAGACTGGCTCTCAATTGTCCCGGGCGAATGATCTGCAATTGTCTGTGCCTGCAGTCGAGTCTTGACCATATCCAAAGGAAACACGGATCCCCAAGTAACAACGCCGGCAATGCCACCGCAAAGCAGAATCTTCAAAGCGGCCTGATGTGAATCATCATCATCAGAGGTCATAAATCGTTTGCAAAGTTCGTAAGACCAGAAACTGCGATATGTCAGCACTAAATCCCTCAATTGATACACTGGGGTATCCGGGGGTGGCGTGTTAGGTCCATACTAGAATCCATAGCCAATTGAATCTCTGGCGCTAGTAATCCCGCCCCCAAAGTAAAGACCCCTCCAACCGCGCGTTCGGAAGATATCCTTTGCCACCGCCCACGAGGAAACTTCTGGTCTGCGATCTAGCTGGGCCCGACACTTGATAAACTCCGTTGGGGATGAGATTGACCAGCTAGCCAGTCCGCCTGCGGCACCGGCCAGCCAAATCTTGTAAGCCGAGACCCCCACGGGATTGGTGGGATCCGTTACGGACCCGTCCAATGCTGCTAAGGATCGGTTGTAAGCGACAAAAAGAACAGCATTGAGAGCTCCATAGCCTAAGATCGGAGCAGCCGCGCCTATAAAGATGGTCAATTAATTGTTATCGGTATCACCAAAACGGTGTAACACGGACCTCGCACAAGAGCGCTTGCTCTTTCGAAGCGGCTCAATTGTGTCGACGACGCATCTGAATGCGCGTTTCCCGCCTGTAGCCGGACTTTGACGATATCCAGAGGATTGCCAATGATGATTCCAATGGCTCCGCTGATGTAGCCAGCCCAGAAGTCTGCGGCCATGAGATCTTAGTTTCAAAGGCCAGATTGAAGATAATTGAAACAAGCGCCAATGAATCGATGCTCCCCAGATTTCCATAGTGGGGTGACCCCTCACGTGCCGAGACGAGGAATCATAACCGGTATAGGGCACCCCCGGGGCGGCCCGGGGCAGAAGAGCCTCCCAAGGTTATTCAGTAGTTTCCTGATAGTTACTCTACGGAAGCTAGAAAGAGTACGGATTATGTCGCTGGGATAAAGAGTGTGTCCGTAGCTCTTCTCATTGTAAGAGCGACTTCATGTGATAAATGATGTCCTGTGTCACTCCTATCGCCATTTCATTCCTGCATAGTTATTATTTACATTTACCAACCTCTGCCTCCCTCATGATAAATTTCCCTGGCTCATACGCTTCTTCCACAAACTTTCCTCTATCCAGTACTTCTAGCTGAACTCCCAATATAGCTCCTTCCTAACGAAGTTCGCGATACTTCTCAATTCGCTCACTCGTTTCGCGGTTGATCTATTATGCTATTAGAGTACTCTCTGCCTTTAGTCTGCGTCCTATAATTCCTACAACTCCAAGAAATTTGCCCTCTACCGAGTATTGGTATCCGATGCAGCTCCCTGGACCCAGGTCTTGGTTCGCAGTCAAAAATTCCTTGAATATAGTCAACTTAAACCCAAACTCAGCCTCCAGCTCCCACGGCTCAATGCCATTCTGCCGCTCCCAGAACTATAGCTGGGGGTCAATCTGGGGATTAGAGAGTGTTAGACGCTCTGCCACATCGCGGGGAATATGGTCCACCACAATCTCGCGCCCATTGACCCGCGCCACCTGTTCCGCCGTCAGGGCCTCACCCCCGATCTCAATAACACGGTGCGAGAAACGCCCCAGCTCCACCAAAGCAGCAGCTGCAAAGCGCCCAATATCATCTGGGTAGAGAAGCATCGTCCTTTTCTCGAGTGCCATAGCAGTGCGAAGGGTATAAGATTCTGCCAGCGCAGGGAAATAGTCTCTCACGCTGGGAGGGAGATAATTAGTCATGAAGACGGGGGGACGGTGGATTGTCCAGTGCATAAAGCCTGCCGAACGCACGAAATCCTCAATAGCACCCTTGCCCTCGAAATATCCCTTCAAAATGCCAGACATCGCGCCATCGTGGGGAATTACTCGCGCTGGTCGACGGCGCAAACGCTGCTATAAACGAGCGTTGTGACGTTACCGGATGTGCGAGCTGCGCGCACGAAATTGGTAGCCTGTCGTAGTTCAGCACCGTCGCCTCAGAACTAGGGTGATACGTCTAGGAACACTGCTGTTTGGTTTTGGCAGGCCAACTGGAGTTGCTCGGGTTGGTCGAAGTTTCCCTCCACTAGGACGGTGCCGCGACGATATAGGTCGACTGTGGCAGCACTGGACGTCGGCCGAACCAGGGCGTTGGGTGCATGGCCTATGATGATAGTATCTTAGGGGAAGGAATACGACTGAGGGGAAGTAGAGACAACTGGAGGGATCTAGATATACCCTATATATACGATACAGCTTTAATGCATTAGTACATACATGGGTCAAAAATATTTCCCCACCCTCTTTGTTCCACAAAAAGAGTGTGGATCATCCCGAATGGATTAGGGATTGACTAGAGATATTGATATTATACCCATCTCGGTACATTTATGAACCAATCTGAATGTTATACGTGATGTAAGAGATCATATATCGTCCATGGGTGCGGTTAAATGTCTGGAGTAATTAATTATAGCTCCACCTCCAGGGCCGATGGTTAACTAGTTAGTTAGGGCTTACCTTTTACCTAATTGGGTTCAAGGTTTGCAAGGTTCTTTGTCCTCCCCTGACGTTTTTCCCCTTATCACTTTTGTTTGACTATCGTCGCATTTGTCAGAATACAATTGCATTTGTCACTTCTAATTGCAACTTTAGGATCACATTTGTCAGCGCAACCATAAGCTTGGGGGCCAGGGGGCTATTAGAAATCTCAGCTATGGAGTTGATTCTTGCCTACAGATATAGCCTACATATTTAGGCCACCTTTTATCACGTCTCAACCTCGCAATCCAAATTCATCAACAAGTCCACCATTTTTATCATGACGAGCACTATCTATCTTATTACTGGGTCTAGTCGGGGAATTGGTCGTGGTCTAGTTGAGACAATCCTCGCTCGCTCCAACACCACCGTCATCGCAGCCGTCCGAGACCCCGCTAGTGCCCCCTCTCAGTCGCTGCAATCCCTCTCCAAAGGCGACTTCTCTCGCCTGATAGTGGTGAAAATTGACGCAAAGTCTCCCACCGACCCGGCTGCTGCTGTCGATACCCTCCAGACAGAGCACAGCATCGACCACATAGATGTGGTGATCGCTAGCGCCGGCATTAGCGAGGACCTCTCGCCCGTGCACGAGGTTTCCGTTCCCGTGGTTCAACAGCACGTCGAGGTCAATACCTACGGGCCCATCTACCTCTACCAGGCCGTCTACCCACTGCTTAAGAAGAGCACGAAGCCCACCTTTGTAGGAGTCGGCAGTCCTCTAGGTAGCATTGGCGGTATGGAGCAACGCCCGTTCCCAAATGCTGCGTACGGTTCTAGCAAGGCTATGCTACACTGGATTGTGCGCAAGATTCACTTCGAGAATGAGGACTTTGTGAGCTTTGTTTCTGATCCTGGGTAAGTGCCTGCTGCTCTCTAATGGTCTTTGTGTCGCAAACATATTAATGAGTTTGTAGATTCGTCCAAACTGAGATGGGCAATGCCGGTGCCAAAGCATTCGGGCTAGAGAAGGCCTTCCAGACGGTCGAAGAGAGCGTTGGCGGTATCATGAAGACGATTGATGAGGGGACGAGGGAGTCGGTTGGTGGGAAGCTGCGCGTGTGGGATGGAACAGAGTTCCCCTGGTAAATAGAAATATTAGGGTCATCCTCGCATGCCATTTGGTTTCTCTCTTGAATTCGATGCCTCTCTCGATATTTGCTGGTCTTTTTCCTTTGGACATCACACAGAAGGACTGCTATTCATGATCACCTTCCATTGGCATAGAGACATAGTAATATCAAATGTGATAAATCAGATTGAACAAGAGATGTCTGGTTTTGTACATTGCTAGTTCTACTAATGCCCTTATGGCAGACTTTCTTTTGGGTACATCACGACAATACGATATGAGACTGCCCTGGGTTTTTAATAGATCGGTTTGAAATTCCAGCTCTTGCTTTCTGTCAACACAAACGATATTAAATATAATCTATGGATTCCGGTAAGAGACTAGCCAATGCCTCCTTACTATAGTACAGAGAGACAATCAAATAAACGTCATAGCAGAAAGAAATGACACGACTCTTGCTCTTGCAATCTGCATTATAAATGAGAACACCTATCACTAGTTATCGAGAGGTAGGTGGGTAGTCACATTACGCCATGCGTCTTCTAATTTAATTCTCTCGGAAGCCGTAGATGGTATTTTTACGGCATCTTGATCAACATTCGCATAAGAGAACGCGAAGCTGGTTGGGCTAGTCTTCTCCTGAGCGACGTGATTGAATCCAACAAGAGTAAGAATAATAACAGTACCCCTTCCTTACTTCTTTCTCACTTCCTCGCTCCTTCCTTAATTTGTGACTTCTAATTGACCTCATAATACAGGAAAGTACTCTTGGAATTCTTGCCGGGAAGGCCAGACCTTGTGCCAGGCTGCCCAACTCTCCAGATGCTCGTCTCCCCATGTGTTAGAAACGCAGCGAGGATTGCGTGGACGGATGTTCTAGGCGGGAAGCAATCGACAAATTATTTGGGGATGGAGTTAATGCATGATTTCGTCCGCCTTTGTATTGTGTAGATTATTAGCCGCTGTCTCAACATACCATCCCTTATGAGATTTATCTGGGCATAGCCAACCTCAATGGTTCGGGTTGCGATCATTCCCATACGGCGTCCGGGTAATTTACAGCGTATAACACCATTGATTTTTAAACCGTTAGACAGTGCCCATTGCAAGGAATCATAGTGGTTGGCATCATACTCTTTATTGCTAGATATGTTAAATCGAGCAAAATGGTTAAATGATTTTCAGTGCTACTTCAATGTTGGTTGGGCCACGGGTCTCTGTTACCATGGGGGCAATACCATATAAAATGCAGTCAGCCCAACTAACTTAGGGAAACAGCCCTGAGGTTATGTATGTGCCTCTCGGAAGGTTGTTGTTTACTGGGGTACAGATACATCGACGTTACTTGCTAAAAATAATGCCCACGTGAAGCTCAGACCACCATACCCCATTGGGCGGTCAGTTATTTTGGGACGCGGCAGTTTGGTGTTTGGGAGCCTCAAGTGAACGCGCGACGCGTCGACAACTCGCACTTGCCTCAACTTTGGGATCATTGTACAGCAGGAGCTTGGTGTATTTGTTTTGTCTATTCTGGGACCAATGTAAGTTTTCGTGTTAAATCATTTCCGAGTTCATATGCTGACATGCCTGGAAGGTATCGACAACGCCCGGCCGTTGGCGACGACAGCGTCAAGACCCCATTACAACCAAAATCCGTGAACGCTCAGAACTCGATCGACCGACTTGTAAGGCCATTTAAATGTCCGGGAACTGCGACCCCCACCCGGGCATCCGAAAAACCTTCGAGAAAAAGACGAAAAGTCAACTACGCCAACGCCGATGGAAGCGTGGAGGATGGAGAGGAGAAGCCATACACGAATGATGACCGGCTCGCTTTGGAAACAAGAGAGGCCAACAAATTTCCCGCGTACAAACCAAAGGACAAAGATGTGGCCTTCAGGACACGATTTCAGGTTCCGTTCATCAACAAAGCCGCCGGTGAGTACAGTTCCGGTCGGGTGGCTCCGACATTGGGGATGCGGCGGGGCGCGACATTTGTAGTCAAGCCACTACATGACCCAAGTGGTGAATTTGCGATCGTTTTATACGATCCTACAGTAGACGACGTCGCCGAGGAACCTGCGCCTAAAAGCATAGAGGCACCGACGGAGGATACGCCAACATTGGATGAGCCAATTATGCATAAAAGTCTAGCAGACATTCTGGGGCTCAAAAAGGACGTGGAAGATAGACCAAAGGTGCCTGTCGTGATTGATCCGAGACTGTGCAAAGTGCTTCGACCACATCAAGTCGAGGGTGTGAAGGTATGGCGTTCCAAGAGGAGCTGTGGTATGGGAGAAAAGCTAACACCACGCTTACGTATAGTTCCTTTACCGATGTGTTACTGGGTTGGTCGACAAAAATGCAAATGGATGTATCATGGCAGATGGCATGGGACTTGGTAAAACGGTGAGGTTGGCCGACTTAATTTTCATACCTTGGTTCTAACGAGTACAGCTTCAATGTATCGCCTTGATGTGGACACTACTCAAGCAGTCCTCAGAGGCCGGAAAAACTACCATTCAGAAATGCGTGATTGCATGTCCGTCAAGTTTGGTTGGTAATTGGGCCAACGAACTGGGTGAGTTATGCGTGGTACCCTACTTATTATAAGTTTAACTGACCATATCAGTGAAATGGCTTGGAAAGGATGCCACCACGCCTTTTGCGATCGATGGAAAGGCCACAAAAGCAGAGTTAATAACCCAGATCAAGCAGTGGGCCATTGCATCAGGGCGTGGAATCGTCAGGCCTGTCCTTATTGTGTCCTACGAGACACTGCGTATGTATGCGGATACTTTAAGTGATACTCCGATTGGACTTCTCCTGTGTGACGAAGGTCATCGACTAAAAAACAAGGAAAGCTTGACATGGACCGCTTTGAATCAACTTAATGTTACTCGCCGAGTGATTCTTTCCGGAACACCTATCCAGAATGATCTGTCTGAGTACTTCGCTCTTCTTCACTTCGCGAACCCGAATCTTCTTGGCTCTCAGGCCGATTTCCGAAAGAGGTTCGAACTACCGATTCTGCGGGGTCGGGATGCTGCGGGCACAGATGCAGAAAAGAAGCTGGGAGATGAACGGTTACAGGAACTCTCTGGGATTGTCAACAAGTTCATTATCCGCCGAACCAATGAGCTTCTCTCTAAATACTTGCCTGTCAAGTATGAGCATGTTGTGTTCTGCAACATGTCACAGTTCCAGCGCGGTCTGTACAACCATTTCATCAAGAGCCCGGAGATCCAAAGCCTTC